CTCCAAGGCAGACTGGCACTTGGCAGAGGGCAGCCATTCATGGTGGTGGAAGTCAGCAAAATAGCAAGAAGAAAGGGACGAGTAGTGGCAACAACAGCTGCAGAGAGCAGGCCTCTCTCCCTTAGGTTGCATTCAGGCTCTCTGCCCCAGGCTGGGTGTAGCACTCATACCCATGACCTCAGCACTGGATCAGGAATTAATCACAAACCCTAGAAGTTGCACCATGACTACACAGGGCTTTGGAGGTGCAACTAGACACAAACCATAGCAATAAACTATCAAAATGATTTAATTGCGCTTAATATACATTTCCAAGATAGCATATATGCATAAATTTTTAGATACTAAGATACAAATTAAAGTAATTAGGACAGAGCAAGTAATCAACCCAATATATTGAATACATTTTCTTCTACTGGTTTAAACTACTTTTTGCATTCGCACTATGCGTGTTTGAATGCACGTCATTGTGAATTAGTTCACTAAGAGCTAATCAAAGGAGAAGAAATTATAGTAAACCAAAACTAAAACTGAGATGCAACAAATAATTTTTCACACCTAGGAAAAATAGCTGTGTATGATTTCATGCTCATCTTAATAAATTTCCAAATTTAACAATACCTTGGAAAAAATAAGGCAAACATGCTTTGGATATAATGTGAAACACTTATTTACCTCCTTTCCTTATGGAGTATTTTAGTTTTGCTCTTTAGAAAGGAGTCATTCCTCTTCTAGCATTATAGGCAGTTTGATTTTATTGATGCATCTGTGTTTGCTATTTGAATTCAAATAAGAAAAATGATCATCATAGTTTTCAAGACTTAGAAAGAAGTAAATATAAGAACCTTAAACTCACTGAGACCATATAACTGTGCTCACTTAAATTAGGCATATCCTGTCAAGTGTTTTCTTAAAATTACATTATTTAATCTAAAGTACTATATGTTTCATATTATTTGCTTATTCATCATGAAAATCTTATTTATGAAGTTCCTTTGAAGTGAAAAATACATAATGGTTAATACAAATTCTAAGAGTAAATGTATATTCCCTTCGTCAAGAATATCTCTATCTAGTAAAGCAAATAGTAAGTGTGGCAATAGTTCTCACAGATGAGATGCCATGATAAATCAAGACTTGAAATAAAGGAACATTGCATGGTAAATTATTGACACACAGTGTCTTCTGGATTTGAGATTGGGAATTTTATATTATTAAGTAAAAATCAGTATTGAAAACTAATATCTTTAGTGAATTAGTTTTGTACGTAGAGATCAATTATTTATATTCAAAAAAGCAACCCATATTTCATGCCATAGTCTCTTGGTTTTTACAATAAAACCTCTAAAAGTGTTTCTGTATCAATTTAGAAGCTTTATATACAGCACATTAAGTAAATTTTAGCTTTCATCCAGTTTTGCCATAGCAAACACTGAACAGGATGTTTCTGGAGATTTTAAGTGTTTATAAACAACGTATTAGCTCAGCACTGCAAAAAAGAAACCAGGAAATAATAAATCCTTAGCTTTTGAAATATATGCACTATTTACTTTGCCTGTTTTTTTCAAAATTCAGTTTAAATTTATAGTTTATGCAACGGAGGGTAGGATGCTGCTATATTTTTGAGTCTCTAGGTAATTGGAAAAGTGTTGACAAGCAAGACTGGGGTTTGTGGGGGAGTAACTCTGGTTCAGTGTTTCTCTTTCAAATGCTTGTGCAGCCTAAAGATTGTACTATTTGAATTCAGCAAAATAACCCAGTGTAGTCCAATAGTTCATACTAGTAGTGGGTTATCGGCAGAACTGGTAATTGTCAGAAGTTGTTGACTGGAGCCTTTTACAGCTCAGCATATAAATATTACATTACTTTTTATAACTTGTGGCTATAATTTTCTGTTGGATGGTTAAGACCTAGTTAAAGCAAGACCTGTATAAATAAAAATGTAACTTTTGTAACTGACAAGGTCATTCAATTTCCCTCAGGATTTACGCTGGAACCACGTGCAGCACCTTGTAGATCTTTTGTCAGTGTCAGCCATCTGGATGACTTATGGCCATTGCTTGACCAATTTGAAGCTTCTTTAACTGCAGTGGAACACCCAACTCTGAAGAAGTAAAACAGAAAAGGGGCATATGTTGGGAGCCATGAAGCTAAGAAATCAATCACATATATGCATGTTGGACTTGACCCAGTGCCTAAAGCAGACAAGCTACCTCACTCCTGAGATGCACATCCTGTCTGGTTAAGGTCAGCTATCAGCTGCTAGGCAACCTAGTGTAATGTGTTATTAACTTCACAGACATGTAAATAAATGACAGTTTTGTTGCAAAACAAAAGGGAGGGAAGGAAATATATATATATATATTTGTATGCACAAGAGAGTTAGGATAGATATTGAGCTACTTTCTTTTAGTTCACTGAGAATAAAAGTTTGTACTAATATTTTTTAGACAAGATATCATGTCTGCATCTTGTCCTCTGAATAGCTACTATGAAGACAACAATATATAATGTATTAATTATTATAAAGGTCTTACTAACCTGTTTGAAAGTTTTTCACCAGTATTTGTCTTTTTTCTCATTAAAATGAATAAAAATAATAAAAAACAAACAATAAAAAATAAATTCTGAGGCTTAAGTTAAAAAAAGCTAATGTAAATTTTTTAAAAAATTTTTATTGAGAAACAAATAGCAATGAGACAGTTTCACAACAGATTACTAGTACATTTTCAATAATTAATACATTGCATATTGTTGTCTTAGTGGTTATTCATTGTACAAGATGCAGATCTGATATCGTGTCTCAAACATTATTAGAACAAACCTCTCTATTCATTGAATTAAGAGAAAGAATATACTCATATGAGAGAATACAGTGCTCTTAAAAACCCTGCAAATGGAAAAGCAAATGTTAGTATGCTTGTAGAAAGAACATTGTTGAATGAATTTCATAAAATTCAAATCACTTTATCATAACAATTCTGTCCATTTCTGATATTTAGAAAGCACATGACATGCATTTTTTGTATTTGTTTAGACTTTTCTTTTTTCATACAGATGTAAAGGCCAAATTTTTGTAAGAAGTTAATCTTTTCTGAATTGCTTTTGTGCCCTTGAAGATAAGTTGTCCATGTTGTGTGAGATGATTTTAAAGTTCTGTATTTCATATTCCATAAATCCTTTTCTGGCTGTTTCCCTATGTGTTTCCCAGATCATTGTAGTATGAAAATTATGCAGTCTTTTAACTTTATTTTCCTCTTATGAAACAATTTTTGCTGTTTTTTGTCTTTTTGAATGTGTTCACTTTCTTTTCTTGTTTGTCCTGAAGTGTGTGTGCATGTGTGTATATGCAGGTGTAAGGAGTACTATAGATTAAATACAGGCCCTCATGCATGCAAGGCAACTGGTCAACCATCCAGTTACTTTCCTTTCTGTATTTTACACTGACAAACTGTCTCTCTAACCCACTCAAGCTGAACTGGAACTTCCATCCTGCCTTAGCATCCTGAATAATTTGGATTACAGATGTGGCTACTGTGCCCAGCTCTTTACCTTCTGTATAAATTTCCGAACTAATTTTTCACAAGTAATATTTACCAATCAACTGCTATTTCAACATTGAGTTGATATATGCTTTTGCTAAACTCCTTATCTCTTACATTTTCCAAACTGCCATGGCGTTTAGGAGATGTTTGTATAGATTCCGTTGAATTTATAACATGGACAAATCAAATTGACATGAATTTCTGAGATTTTTACTTTTCTCCTCCAACTCACATTTTTTCCACTCTTATTAGCCAAAACCTTAGCTGTAGTAATGAATGGGAGTTATGAGATACATAACTTTGCTTTATTATTTTTTTTCCTTACTACGTGTTTGCAGTAAGAAAATGATCACAATTATGAAAAGATGATGCATGCCTTATAGGCATCTCTCTCTCTTTTTTTCCTCTCTCTCGCTCTCCTTCCCTCCCTCCCTTCCTTTCTCTCTCTGTGTGTTTCGCTATACATCTGTCTCTTTGTTTGTTGATCTTTCATCCCCTACCCTTCTCCCTCTCTGCTCCTTCGGACCCTAAGTTTCCTTCCCATAACTTCGCCTTATTCCTTAGGTTTCAAAAATTTTTCTCAGTCTTTCATTATCTAATAACATCAGTTAAGGAATTAAATTATATTTTCAATTTACTGAGCATTATTTCCACATTCAGGGGCTAGATAGTCCTTTCCTAAATCTATTGAAATTATATAAATATTATTCTGAACTATGTTAAAATGGTGAATTCCACTGACTTCGGAATATTTGGTTAGTCTTTCAGTCCTTAGCAATTCTAAACACAATCTTTCATATATGTATGTATGTCTCCTTTATATTGATTTATTGTTTTATTGTTAATAATTTCTATAATCATATTAATGAATGTATTGGTTTGTATTTTTTCTTTTTTTTAACTTTTACACTGGCGGTATGAGTTAACACTGACATCATAAAATAAACTGAAAAATATTCCTCTTGTGTTTTGAATAATTTAAAAATTATATTGTAGAATTTAACAGTGCAATTCTATGGGTGTCCTGTGTAATTTTTCTAAACAATCTTGAAAAAGATTTGTCTGACTCAATTTTATTGGTCAGCTTTTCCTCACTGTGATAAAATTCCTGAGAAAATCATTTGTTTTGTCTTCTGGCTTTAGTACATAGCTGCCTGGTGCTGTTGCTTCTGGTCCATGGTAAAGCAAATAATCACCACGGGAGCTCATGAGGGACCAAAGAGATGCACGCTGTAGACGGGAGGAAGAGAACTGAGAAGGGTGACTGACAGGATTCCTCTTTTAACCATCTTTACAAATTATTACTTTTAACTTATTGAAAATTGAAATTCAGTCTTTACTTCCAGGATACCATGGATCACCATGGATTAGTGGACAGGCTCAAAGTACCTCCCTCCCTCATGAATCGCTGTAGAGCCTTGTCCCATTGGTACTTTCCAGAGGTGTATGGAGTCCAAGTGTGGGACATTTGCTCAAAGGGAAGTCACAAGTTTTGTGCCCCTGTCACAGTGACCCTAAATTCCTTTTGGGAGTGTTGTAAACAGAGAAACCATTCTTCAAGCCACCTGCTCTGAGCACACCCACCTTCATCCACTTTTGAGTCTGCCATACTACCATCAGTTCACCATTCTATATGTGAATTATCTCTGGAAACATCCTTACAGGTAATCCAGAAATTTGTTTTACTAATTTCCTAGAGATTTCTCAAATCAACCTAACTGACACACAAGATCAGCCACGATCGTTGTGATGGCTTACATCCAGAGACGACTCCTGAAAGCAGTGCTCGTGACTTCCAGTGATGCAAACGGCCTACTGGGCATACTGCCCATCATTATTCACCTCCACCCTAGAGCCTCAGGCATTCACAGGTGGAGCTTCAGAGAGGATGCTGCATCATGGGTGTGTGACACTGAATTAGCCCACTGATTGGCTTAGCACAGCTCTGGATGTGGATGCTGGGTTTACTGAAGAGGGAAGGTCCCCCTGGCTTGAGTGTCACCAACCAATAGGCTTGTCACCTGGATGGAATCAAAAGGGGAAAGTGTTTTGCTGCCCCTCTGCCACTCTATTCACCATGTTTTCTCCACCATACCCGTGTATCATGAAGCCCTGCCTTGGAGACAGCTGAATAAGAAAAGAAACATCTACAAATTGTGGGCTAAAATAAACCTTTCTTGTTTAAACTCATGCTCACTCCTCTCAATGCTTGGTGGTGGGAATAGACTCCCAAGCCAGAACTCCCAACTGTTTGATATATCTGCCTCATGCATGTATTTCTACAATCATGCAAGCCTTACCAGTCATACTGGGGGTGTTGCTGAATATTTTGTCCCAGCAATGAAAAAGTAACTATGACACCCATAGTCGACTTTGGATTGTTCTATAATATACTTCTTCTGAAATATGTTTTGCTACCTCATGACTTCAAAGGATTTGCCTCATTTCTTCCACGTTATCAAATTTTTGGTCCTGAATGTTTTTCATAATACTACTTCATCATATTTCGATTCATATATGGTTAGAATATTCTATTTCAGTCCTGACAGGAAGAGTTTGCATGTGAGGTGTGTGTGTGTGTGTGTGTGTGTGTGTGTGTGTGTGTGCATGTGTGTGGTAAATTTTGCTATTGTTTCACCACTTTCTTCAAAGAATAAGGTTTTCTTTCACTGTTTTCCTGTTTTGTCTATATTAAATTAAAGAAGTTACTCCTGCTCTCATGTTTTCCCACTTTCCACTTGATTTGGGATTAATTTACACTGTATTATGTTTCCCATGGTTTATAAATAGTTCATTTATTTGGCCGTACAATGGATTCTAAAATAAATTCCATGCTACGTGTTTCTGCTTAAGCACTGCCTTAGCTGATCTTCTAACTTTCAATATATCGCATTTTCACTTTTATAAAGGTATCTTATAATTTCACTGAAATTTCTTCTGTGACTCATGAGTTTATGGAGACTTGCTTTAATTTCCCAATACTTGCAAATTGTTCATACAACTGTTTCATAAATTGTTACAGATGAAATGAATATTCTTATTTCATAACATTTAAATCATTAGTCAGTGTTGGATTGCTGCAGACAACTAAGAATTACCTACAGGCCAGAGTCTAATAGTTAAGGAGTCTGGGGTGAATGCTTAGATAAAGGCCACCGTGGTGAGCTCCATACGTTCTTTTGGAAAAGTGGAAGTTAATTACAGAGGAACAGCAATGCAAAGGTATTCCTTTTTGTAATAATGACACTAGTAACACTCCAGAACCACCAATAAGTCTTGTATGAAC